GATTTTAGACCGTCCAGGGGCAGCCACTGAGAACACCCTATATCACATCCGCACCAACCATGCTTGTGATGGTGGTAGACCCCGCTCAGGTCTTAGATATCCAAGGTTATAGCTTTGTTTATTGAATCAATACATGTGTAATGTGGTCTTGTTTTCCTGCTGTCTTCCACTTCTAGTTTGAGTAGCAGAGGTCTGTATGAAACTAACGAGTGAGATCAATACAGGATTTTGGAGAAGAATGTCAACTACACTGAGTCATCTAAATCAGATGAATCTGTCTATGGACCTCGTCACACTTACCAATTTAAGCGTCCTAGGATGCTTGGCAATCAGTTGAGAATCAAACGGGCATGCAGCCCATCACATAACATCCACTTCTGGTGGAGGCCCCACCTGCAGCTGGTGTGAAAGTGTCCTGGAATGCTTCTTCCTTAACACGGGAAGGCTCCAATGGAGCCAGCACACTTCTGCCACACTTGGGCAATGCTTCCCCCATGTAATGAGGTAAGTGGCACTGAAGTCGCCCTGAGCACCTGCCGTCTGGCAAAACAGCACTGGGGGAGGGCATGTGATAAGGTCCTATGTGCTACAGCAGAGTCTGGATGGTAAAGCAGCCTCTGGATTTGCAAATGAGAGTGAACAACTGAATTGCAACAAGATAGACACTTTTTTTTTTGATAAAAGAGACTCTGGGAACGTCATTTCATCCCATGCTTACCTGAGACCAGTAAATGTTTACTATATCAGGCTACTAATTGTTTGCTTGATGTTTTGATACTTTATTATGATGTTGTTTGCTTCATAATGTTTTGTGAAATTGTTTCAAACAAACCATAGTTAAGACGAACTGCTGCTGTATTTGTTGGGCTCAAATAACATAAGCTGGAGTTAGCCTCACCTGAAAACAATATCCCTTACCACATGATAGTAGGGGAAAGATAGCCTAAGCCAGTGGTTCTCAACCAGTGGGTCCCCAGATGTTTTAGCTTTCAACTCCTAGAAATTCTAATAGCTGGTAAACTGGCTGGGATGTCTGGGAGTTTTAGACCAAAACCCCTGGGGACTCACAAATCGAGAACCACTGGCCTAAGCCAAAGTCTCATGATGACCATTTGCATCATGCTAAAATGTGGTGTAACATCATGTCCAAATGTGTTTTCTATGTTGAAACCCTACAACCCATTAGAATTGCATCCCAGGAGCAATGCCACTGCCTCCATCCTCTCTAAGCAGCCATTCCCACAGCTGATGGTGGAAAATGAATTTGTTATGAGCCATATATTTATCATTTAAAGCATTTTGGGTAGCTGCTCCTAACAGAGTTGAAAAATGCAAGAAATTGTGTATCTATGAAGATATATTCATGTCAATATAGCTAGTCAGCTACATATCTTTTTGAATTTACTTTCAGGGTGTTGTTATTAATAGGGATTGCTGGGTTGTTGCTGTGGAGGTGGAGACAAAATCCAGGCATTGCATTCCTGAAAACAGAGTTTCTCAAACTGTGCTCCCACAGATGTTATGGACTTTAGCTCCCACAATTCCTAACAGCTGGGAAGCTGGTTGGGATTTCTGGGGACTGAAGTCCCAAACACCTGGAGGAGCACAGTTTGAGAAACACTGCCCTAAAATGTCTTTCTCCGCCACCTCTCGAAATTTCCCTGAATTTAACTTAAAACTACAGGTGGGCATTTAGGAATGCAGTTTGGGCATCCAAATAAAAGGGGCGGGCAAGTTTACCAGGGGAATGCAAACACAGCAAACATGAATTCTAGACATGATTTAATGTCAGTCTCATTCTCTGCAATGCTAAAAAAAAAGAGATACATGAAAAATGTCACGGGTGGCGCAAATTCTCATTTGGAGTCATTTTGCCTCCCTACCATGAGGTGGTCCTCATAGCTACACTCTTGGGGCACCATGATGAACCTGTACTTCAACATTAACACATCACTGATTCTCATAGAATGGAAAGTAGGGCTCTTCTTGAAGTATTTCACTGGATCTGTCTTTGCTGCAATTGTTTGTAGCAGAAAAACAGGTAAAATTATTTTTAAAAAGTTCATAATCCAGAATTTCATACTGGGGCTTCTCCAGTTTTTGTTTTTACTACAAGGAAATTGTCTCTATGCACACATTTTCCATTAAGCACATTGGGTATTTTCCTCTTCAAAAGGGGGTTCTGGTATGCTCAGGATTCATCGCAAGCAACTGGAGCTGCTGGATCAGGGCCACCGTGTGCCCAAATTGTATTACCAGCTGTCTCACATACCAGCTGTCTGTAGGCAAAGGCAGCCAGGGTTCATCAAGCTATTCAACACTCAGAGCAGCTGTGCTCTATGCAGCAATCTGCAGTTGCTATGATTGTGTATCAAAAGGTCGCTTTCTCACTGCCACCAACATTACCTTGGATTCTTTAGAGAGAGAAATGCTTCATTTCCCTTCTTTGCTGTTCAGTGCAAACAGAGGCCAAAAAGAAATTGAAGGAGAAATGCAATGCGCCAAATGAAAACATGTTCCTAAATACAAAAAGGTTGCTGAGGGAGATGAAAGTGGTTTCCAAATAATGCTTGGGTGTTAGACACAAATGTCTTAGAAAACTGCATGCATGCTAACAACACTTCTGCCACACTCCAGAATGCGTTCACCTATGTTCCTTCTAGTGGGATCACTAACAATAGGATTTGATTTGCTATGCAAGGCACACCGTAATGGTTTTTTAAAACAAAAAAGGAGCATATATATAATTACAACACAGAATAAACTCCCCCAAAGGTTGTAATTTAGAATAGGAGATGGCAAATCATATTGGTCAAAGCTTAAGAAATCCATCTGGCAACCCAGCCTTTGGAGGATGCTCCTATTTCAACATAATCTTATTGCTCTTTTCCCCAGTGTTGTGCTGGGTTTTACAGCAGGCAGAGGCAACAAAAAAGACTTACATTGATTCTGCCTATTCCAAAGTCTAGAGCAGGCATGAGCAAACTTCGGTCCTCCAGGTGTTTTGGACTTCAACTCACACAGTAGGCTGTTAGGAATTGTGGGAGTTGAAGTCCAAAACACCTGGAGGGCCGAAGTTTGCCCATGCCTGCTCTAGAGCAACAGTTGAGAAACAGAGCACCCCAGATAATCTGGATTACATCTTCCACAATCTGTTACCAATAGTCAATGGGAGGTACACACCAAAGATTCTCAACTCTTTATCTAGAGACATCCACAGTTTAGCTTAGATTTTGCTATCTTAGTTGTCCAAGGAGCTGAGAAGAAAGACATATCCTATTTAGACAACCAGCAAATGTTCAATTATCTGCAAGATAAGGGGGCAGACACCTATTACCATTACACAGTTTGTTGAGACAGTGGTAGGGAGATGTGAAGTTGTCTCTAACTCCCAAGAGCAGCCACAGCCCAAATAATTTTAGAAAGAAGCAACAAGCTACCTCAAAGCAACAAGCTACCTTTGCCAAGTCCCTTCGGTGTTCAAAGGAAAAGTAAAGGAATAAGTGATATGTGCAACTTAGATTAGGGGTCCTCAAACTTTTTATGCAGAGGGTCAGTTCATGGTCCCTCAGACTATTGTGGGGCTGTACTATAGTTTAAAAAAAACACAAACAAATTCTTATGCACACTGCACATATCTTATTTGTAGTCCCAAAAACATGATAAACAATACAATATTTACAATGAAGAACAATTTTAACCAACATAAACTTACCAGTATGTAATGGGGAGTATGGACCTGCTTGTTAATTAGGATTGTTGTTGTGTGCCTTCAAGTCATTTCAGACTTAGGGCAACCCTAAATCTAAAGTTTCGGGCAAAGGGCAGGCGAATGACACTGGAGGGCCTGGTGTCCTTAGTTTGGGGACCTCTGGCTTAGACGCTGCTGAGGTGTCTTTGAACAACAGGCCAAGACCAGAAAGGAGCCAGGGGTGAAGTCCAGTTACTTGAGAATGTTATTCATTTGGTCTGTTATCAATTAACTCCTTTAAACAAACTAAGAGGAAAACAGAGGATCAAAAGGTTGCAACCCCTCTTCCTATTCTACTGAGCAGGAGTCCTTGGGGTATAGGATAACATCCGTCTTTGTGATACCTCTTTCCTTCTCCAAGTTCCATGGCATGTGCAAAAGTCTTGTTGTAACAATAAAGTTACCAGCAACATTGATTTAATTACAAACAAACAAAGAATCCACAGCTGCTGATTTCAAAAGGTAGTTCAAACCCAGTTGGCCCATCTATCAGTTTTTCCCCCTATATTCTTGATTTGTTCTCTTCCTTTTGACTGTAGTGCCCATTCCTGTATCACTATTCCATCAAATGCACCTCCCCTAGCTTCTTCCCACTTATTAAGTTTGCCTAGCGTTCCTATCAGCATCACCTCGTCACTTTTGTTCAGAACATACAATGTCTCTGAGACTAGTCTTTTTTAGATCCTAACTATTGGGCAAATTGCCTGTGCAGCTCCACATTCTTCAATCTTTCTTTCCCTGTCCTTTCTTCTTCCAGATGTGACTTCCCCTGCCTACTCTTCAGTCTTAGATCTGTTTTCATCTCCTGTTAAAAGTGCACAGCTCTTTCCGCTCCAAGCTTTGCATAAGGTTTTCGCTGCCAGACTGATCTTCCATTTCTTTTTGCAACAACAGCTACTGTCAATATTCTGCAACTGCAATGACCAGATTTAATTCTGTTATATATATATATATATATATATATATATATATATATATATATATATATATATACACACACACACACACACACACACAAGACTGTAGGTGGATACACTGAATGACTCATACACACAACTCATACTTTGTAGCAGCTTGCAGAGAAATATGAAAAAGGTTAAACTGGGAGCTCTGATCAGAGAAAATAAAAATGGGTATGGGCATTATTTGAATATATTCCGTTATTTCTTATGAGTGATCTGACTTGCTTTTGTGAATCACTTGAACTTAAGAGAAATTTAAGAAGATGAAATAGCTCAGTTGAACTTACTGGACACGTTGAGATGCTTTGCTCCCACTGACTCATGCTCAGGCTTTCTTCCAAAGGCGTGCATTTCTTTAGTACTAAGTCCCAACCACAGTAAGGGTCCTGGGATCCAACACATGCACTGAAAGTACAAAACCAAAACATTAGGCCAGGATATAAAAAATCATACATACATGCTCTTGGGAAAATGCTGTGATTTCTTAATATATTAGGGAAAGACATGTTGCATCTCACAAGTGGAGTGGAAAGAAAGCTGGACATTGACAGTCATTTACTGGTTTCACTTCTCTGCTTCCCATCCATCAACGAGAGTATTGCCCCAAACCAAACAAGAAATGTTTTTCCAGATCTCATCCTGTCTCTAGCTTTCTGAAATTAAACATAGTCCAATATCTCTAAACAGGAAACATAGCACACTTCCCTTCCTCTCATTCCAAATGTATCCAGATATCCTATTGGTGCCTTTAGCTTGTTGATGCTATTCATAGCTCTTTGGAGATGTTCTATTTTGTCTAAAAATGTAAACTGCTGTAGCTTCTGCTAATGAGGTAGAATACTTATTAGGCCTCGTAGCTGTATTTGGAAGACAAATCAATTAATGCTTAGATTGACTGATTAATGTATGTGTGTGCGGAGGTTGCCACTAAACAGACTACTCTGAGTGTCTGGCAATAACTGGGGTAGGGAAGCATTCCTTTTAACTATATGGTGCCTTTTTGTATTAATCCTTCCACAATTTGCAAAAGCCTATACTAAGACACTTGCAAAAGAATATTGTAGAGCTAGAGAAGGTGCAGAACAGTGATTCTCAACCTGTGGGTCTTCAGGTGTTTTGTCCTACAACTCCCAGAAATCCCAGCCAGTTTACCAGCTGTTGGGATTTCTGAGAGTTGAAGGCCAAAACATCGGGGGACCCACAAGTTGAGAACCACTGGTGTAGAATAAGGTAATCAAAATGATTAACATGCTAGAGCAGTGGTTCTCAACCTGGGGTCCCCAGACGTTTTTAGCCTTCAACTCCCAGAAATCCTAACAGCTGGTAAACTGGCTGGGATTTCTGGGAGTTGTAGGCCAAAAACATCTGGGGACCCCAGGTTGAGAACCACTGTGCTAGAGCAACCCCACTACAAGAAAAGGTTACAACGCTTCAGGTTAGACCAGAAACAGGGAAAGAATGGAGAAACACAACAGAGTGCATTAAGTAATACATAGTTTGGATAAAATGATCATGGAGAAATGTTTCTCCCTCTTCACTAATATTAGAACCCTGGGTCGTACACTAAAACTGAAAAAAGGAGGTTCATAATGGATTAAGGGTACATAGCTAAACTTTGGGATTCAGTGCTATAAGTAGCAATAAGAGTTACCAACTTGGTCAGCACCAAAATTTAACTGTAGGGGGGCTAAGGATATTAGTAGTGTTTGGGTGTGATGAATGCATACAGTTCTGTCACTATTCAAAGTTGGGTGTCTCTGTACAGCAGGTGCTCATGAGAATGATGAGGAATTATGTTACTGCATTTATGTCTTCTTGATGGCTTTCTCAAAGACAACTCTTTGGACTAAAGGAAACTTTTCATTAACAACTCATAAGCTAGATGCCAAGAGATCAGCCCACTGACATTCTTGAAGATCAGTTTGAAAACTACTTTGGCATCTTTCCCATCTAAATGGAGCCAGCCCCCCCCCCCCCCAAATACCTGTATGTTTTGTAGAATAGACATCTCTTCAGTGGGATTTTCACCACACTCTTCTGGAGGCCCACGTATAGAGCACTCTGACTGTGTAAAATCTGCAGACTCTGGATGGGTTCCCACTGCTTCTTTGGGAAAATATTAATCTCCTCCAGCAAACAGCTGCTTGATATCTGATTAACTGGAGCAAGCACCTTTTTAATTGTGCCATGATCTGTGAAGCAAGGAGAAGGAAATTATTGGCCATTCCTCTCCCTCTCTGCTATGTACAGAGACCTATCTGAAGTTGTCCAGAGTATCTGCTTTCCAAGCAGGGATTAATTCTACACTGTGGAATTAATGCACTTGACACAACTTTAATGGCTATGGCTCAATGCAAAGAATCATGCAAGTTCCAGTTTTACAATGCATTTAGCCTTATCTGCAAAAAAAGTGCTGGTACCTGACCAAACTACAACTCCCAAGATTTGCTAGCATTAAGCTATGGCAGTTAAAGTGGTATTGAAATATATCTGCTCTACAGTATAGATCAGTGGTTCTCAACCTGTGAGTCCCCAGGTGTTTTGGCCTACAACTCCCAGAAATCCCAGCCAATTTACCAGCTGTTAGGATTTCTGAGAGTGGAAGACCAAAACATCTGGGAACCCACAGGTTGAGAACCACTGGTATAGATGGACCTGCAGAGGTTTGGAAGAGTCTTCGTATGCAGACAAATCCTAAAACATAGTATTGTGAATATTAAATCTTTCTCAGGAAAATGATGTAATGTTTCTGAGTTGGAAGAAGAATTGTGAGGGAATCTCAGGAGCCTCCTCTGCAGTCATGGGAAGTTGTCAGATCAACAAAAATGTGTTATATCAAAGTGAAGAGTGGATGGTAAAATGTTTTTCTTTGTTGTTGATTTAGATTAAGTTAAAGCATCAATAATTTAAGCAAAATCACATATATGGCATCCACATGCCCTATTCAAATAAAATGATATACATCTTAATAACTTTCCTTAATATTACATGTTCTCACCAATGTAACCTTTCATTGATCCACTACATCATCAAAATAGATGCTGCAGATTTCTATTTCTGAGAGTATTTCTTCTCCATGCATGTATTATGTTCACTACTGTAACCACTTCATTGCAACATCTCCCAACAGAAGTGTCTTTTCTTAGTGACAGTTTATAAGTCAAGTGTGACACAAACCTACATCTGTGAGAATTTATTAATTGTACATTTTCCCAGAAATTCTTCAATCAGGATGTAAAATCTACCACTTAAGTCAATTTTGCCCAGGGAAGTGAAGCTTTCCAGTTTCACCACTTTTGTCACTTTGCAAATGACAGTATGCATCTGGCACTGAGGTTTCCAAGCAACTGGTTACTCAAATAATTATCAAAATCAGTAGAAAGAGAAGGGGGTAGGGAGAGAAAAACATACACATGTAGAAGTTCTTTTCTACATCACCTGAACATCTGCAAGTATCTGAAAACTTTCCAGGGATGTGGGACACCCTGGGGTGTTACAGAAAAAAAAGCTCTGATGGTGGGTTCCTGGTGGATTTCAAGTACTGTGCATAGACTGTAAATAGTTGCATTACCATTTCAAAATCCATGTTTCAAAAACCAGCTCTGTGCTAGAACAGGTAGCTTCTGCAGCCCTTCTACCATTCTTGTGGAAACAGAAGAGTAGTGTTGCATTTTGTCTCACTTTTCTCATACTGTCTTTTGAACAGTCCTTTATGTGAGAAGATACTTTTCTTCCTTGGGATCCAGTCCAATGCTTCCGCCTCTTCTGTTATTTAAGTCCCTTACCTATCCTGATCTCCCATGGCTCTTTACTTGTGCATATTATAAATGATATCCTAAAGTGAGTCTTAACCATTGTTTTTTCATAAAGCTCTTCTTATGCTTCCATAGAGACTACAACTGTTTGAAAAAAAGACACAAGTAGAGTATTGCTTCTGTATTGCTGTGGCAACAAGTTAAACTAAATGTATACAGTATTTCAGATAGTAATAGTCCCTTTGAAAATATTGCTGTGAAATATTACAGTTAATTACTTTCTTTCTGCAGTAACATCAGGCAAATAAAGCTGTGAAAAGGGAGAGGAGGGTACTAGCAACTAAGAGGAGAAAGAAGATGTTCCACCCTAGTCACCCACCCCCAAATACGTTTCCCCAACTTATGCAAGAAATATACATTTGAGAGCCCTGGCACTGGAGGAGGGTGTAACTAGGAAGGTGTATCTGAGGAACAGTCCTAATCAAGAGATGTCTTATATACCTGACTGGTACTAAGTGCTTAGCCCTTCATAACCATGCAGTCCCTTCTCCCCAATTCTGTTTTGCAAATGGAAAAGTGGTGACCCACGTTCACCAGCTTCTGCTTGCTACTAGCATGGCACTCTGGTCCCAGGAGAAAAGGATGCATAGTCTGTATAACCCAAACATTGTTAAGGTATACAGAAAACTGGGTGAGTTTTTGCATGGATCAACACCAAAGTTAAGGTAGATGTGTGAAGAAAGAAACGGTCCATATGCAGGTTTGTTACATGAGTCAATAGATGCAAGTGATTTCTCTTGCTGTAATCAACAGGGTATAACTACAGAGGTTTGAGTATACCATTTGAAGCTCTATTTACAAACTGCTGTTAAAGGTGTCGAGCTCTGTTATTTTTCTCCTGCAGATTGTTAATACAGTGCTTTTTTGAAAGGACCCTTTGTTTTGTAAGTAAGTTGCTAAATTAGGCTATATTTTATTTTGAGTGCTGAAGGACTATATTTTCTGCTACATCTGCATAAAGCTGTTTATTTTATTCTCTTCTGAAACTCTGCTGTAAAGAGTATAGGAATTTTCTTTTTGCACAAACCTACTGCCCTGGTGCCATTTTATCTTCAAGGGCATTGCAGTTGTATTTTAAATTTGGTGATATAGAGGGAAATACTGTTTTCTCGCACTTAATATCACAGTCTCCACTGTCAGTGATGAACTTCATGATCCATTAGCAAGGCCGAGGTTTCAAAATGGTACAGATAATTTCATTCATTTACAAACTTCTGAGATGTGAGAAAGCACCATCCAAAATTATAATTCATGTGAATTTCTTACATGCGATTTATAATGTAGAATTTAATTCCACGCATTGATGCTATGAGACCATTCGAGAACCAAGTGTTTTGACAGTCACTTGTCATTCTGTCCAAATGCTTACACTATACCAAATAGAATAATTGCGGTTATTTTTTTACACCCTTCTGATTATCTCTCTCAGACTTGTGCTTTAAGTAGCTGCACCGCTACACCTAATAATTGTTTTAAAGGAAAATCTATGCATTGATCAAAAGAAATAAAGCAAAAAGTGAATGAATGAATGAGCAAAGCATGTTGCTGAGCCTGGAACCCCAGGTTTCGGCGGTGGCCAAGGGAGCTTTTGAACACTTAAAACTTGTGCGGCAGCTGCGCCCATAACTTGGGAAGCCTGGTCTAGCCATGGTTACATAGACTACTGCAACATGCTCTATGTGGGGTTGCCTTTGAAGACTGTTCAGGAACTTCAACTAGTCCAATGGGCAGCAGCCGGCTTACTAACTGGAGCGACATACAGGGAGCATACCACCCCCTGTTGTGCCAGCTCCACTGGTTGCCAGTCCACTATCAAGCACAATTCAAAGTGCTAGTCTTGGCCTATAAAGCCCTATACGGTTCTGGCCCAGCTTACCTGTCCGAACGTATCTCCCCCTACGTCCCACCTCGTAGCCTAAGATCGTCCAGGGAGGCCCTGCTCTCGGTCCCGTCAGCCTCACAAGTGCACTTGGCGGGGATGAGGGACAGGGCCTTGTCAGCGGTGGCCTCATACCTGCGGAAGCTCCCCAGCGAGATCAGGTTGGCTTCTTCCCTCCTTTCTTTTAGGAAGAAGGTTAAATCATGGCTCTGGGACCAGGCCTTTGGACAGCAAGCATGACAGCACCTTGGATGTTGAACCGGACTAAAATTGGCTATATAGCTGATGACAACATTTTAAAAATGTTTTTAACTTAATGTTTTATTTACTGTTTAAAACTGTTGCTATTTGTGTTTATATCTGTATTATACTGAGGCTTCAAATTGTGGCCGGTTTGCAAGCCACCCGGAGTCCCCCCTCGGGGGTTGAGAAGGGTGAGATAGAAATATTGGAAATAAATAAATAATAAGTCTCTCACCATTTAACCATTTCTAAAAAACAAAACAAAACAGGGCTACCTGGTTTGGAATCAGCAGCTGCTTACTTCCCTCAAGCTGTATTATTAATGTGCATGCTGTGAAGGTTTTGAAGGCACAATCTGCAACTTATGATAGCATCCCAGAAAACTTTGCTTCTGACAGGCTTCGAGAAGGCTGTCTGGATCAGAAAGCCATAATACATGTGAGGAGATTTGATGCTACAGTTCTTGCAACCCAGGAACACACATTTACAAATGCCCTTCAAGAGAGGCCAGGGTGTGAGGCAAGGGCATCAAATATGAGTATCTCAAAACTCTCATCTGTTGCCTGTCTCATTAAGGTCTTCCTCTAAAAGAATGATCTTTCCCACAAATAACGGGCTTTGGTAGGACAGATGCAGCTTGTTAGTCTTGTGTTGACAACCACAGGGTATTTTTAAAGGCTCTGTTCCCGTTGCCTTCAAGCAATGTGAACTTTGTTATTCTATGTGTGCTCCCACAAGATTGCAGTAATGTTTAAATGACCCATACAGAGAGGTAGGGACACTGCACATTTCTAACCACACAATCAGCATCCCCACTTGGAAGGAAGGAGCTGATCCATTGAAATCAAGGTTCAGGTCCATCCACTTCTTTAGGGTATTTCTCCAATTGTGAAAGAGCTCTGTCAATGAGTAAACAAGAAGGGCTAGGAAGCAAAGAAAGATAACTAGCCCAAGAGAAAACAAAAGGATCAACCAAAATCAGTTGCCTTGTATTCTTCTACTAGGGGAAAAGCAAAGGAGTATCAAGCAAAAGGAAAATTCTCGGCTCTATTCCAATATTCTATCGAGCAAAAATTGTACAGCTTGATATTCCATTCTTACTATTTAGATGGATAGAAAGGTGAACTAGGGTGCAGAGATCCGATATACTGCGGACATTATTGCTCATTTTCAGAATTCATTTCAAATAATGGTTTCAGCTTGAGCATGCCTGCTGGGACTTCTAACATTTTCCCCTTTGAATAGCAGATACCAC